AAGATAGATTATTATTAGATCAGAAATTTAATTGGTGATTGATTTTTGTCAGATGAAGATCCAGCAGGACTTTCTTTAGCTATTGGTTTGAAACGAAAAGGATTTCAAAATTTGATTATCTATGAACGAGAAAAGGGTAAGAAAATAGTTTCGAGGTATCCTGCATTTGTTTCAATAGATAATCTAGTACGACATCAAGGTTGGTCAATTTCATTGTTTTCTCCGAATGGTGGTTTAGCATTTATTGAATATCTTGGTCTTTTACCTGAATTATCCGCTATTTCTTTTCAACCTAGTTTTCGTGCATTAGATGGTGAAACAGGTTTACTCTTTTGACTTTGTATATTCATTGAATTATTTAATAAATTATAGGCAAAACACTTCTTTACAAAGCTGGAAATGAGAATGGTAGACGATTCAAACGAGGTGATCTACGAGATGCAGTTTATCAAGTTTGTTTAACAGAGGGTACATCTTTTATTTTTTGAGACAACATAAATGTTGATGTTTAAAAACGAATAGAATTATTTGAGGGTGTGGGTCTGAGTGTGGAGTATGTGAAATGAGTGTGTGAGAGTGCGGGTGTGATTGTAGAAAAGATACCTTCCTTCACCTGCGCCCACACCTAAGATGCTTCTAAAAATATCTCTTTTCGTACATAGATCGTAGTAGATCCTGTCAGAACTATTGATACAGTCTATTAAAAACTGAATTATTTTGTAATTCACTTCACGTTACTCAGTGTTTTTTGTGAAAACTCAAGCATATATTTTTCCAAATGCAACAGATTCTCTAAGATAATCAATCTAGAATTGACATGTTAATCTCTGTTTCGCGTTAAAGTTTGTCAACAGTGGTACATCAATACCAATGTCCGTCAATATCAATACCATCTGGTATAGGTCGGTATCGGTATAGATATTCATATATATATCCCTATGTTTGTACTTTAATGTTAAGCAGTGAGTAACATGGTAATTCCAGTCTAATTAATTTAAAAAATCTGTTTAAATTGGAAAAATATGTGTTTTTTAGTTCCACGAAGGATATGGCTTGGTTCATCGTGCAATAAAAAAATAAGTGTCAATAAAACTGCTTAACCTTATCAGCCTCACACCCGCTGAAACTTAAAATATCTAATGCAAAGGACAGTTCTTATCTTCATAATTTACGTGTTTCTCACTAGCTACTTGCAAGTGAAACATATTTGCATTAGAATATCTCTATATCTCTCGATGTTTTATACTACAGTTATAATTAGAACAACATTTTCTTATCTCAATAGTACATAAAATAAAAATGCACAATATTGAAACGCATGGTATATAATGATAACTTTTTAGGCAGCTGCAAGCATCAAAGGTTTTATTTATTCGATGCTGTTCTATATACCTTAGGGTGTGTGTGAAGGCGTGAGTGCATATATGATTTTTATCCCACTTGTAGCCACACGCACTGACCTACATCCTCAAGTAGTAGGTTGAACACTCGAATAGGATAGATGGATATGCGAGTAGTCGAAAGATTTTTCGATTTCTACACTACTGTATAAAATAACACTTATCTAAAAGAAAGTAGGAACAGACAACTTTGAGAAATATATAAGGTGAATTTTTTGATATTTTTATTAATTAAGACTAATTTTATCAAACTGTTGGTTGAGTATATTTTTTTTCTAGTCGATTATCTGCTGAGCTGATGTATGTATGATGGATATGAGTAAATCATTGCAAATGATCTTATCAAAGAGAGAAAAAACCTTAGATTGCATATAATAACAAGATATATAATGAATTCTTAGTTCTAAGATATTCCAACTATCATTTCGAGGTTGAAACAGACGAAGTTATAAGAATTAGTACAATGTCTAATTCTATTTCATACGGCACTGTTAGAATTTCAAAGATGATTGAAAGTAATTCAGTATGCGATTTGTAACATGAATTGCCCATTTCGATTGAAAATATTGAATATATACGGATATTCTTTTTTGTTTATTTAAAAATTCATAGAAACAATTGTCTATCAATTAATACAATATTGTATTGTACACATTACAAAAAAAAATACTGATATTAATCCAAATTGTTCTTCTTGATATAACAGTTATATTTCATATTAAAGTGCTCAATGCAATATAAATAAATTAAGCTCGTTTAGAAAGCATGATGATTAATAATATTCTAAAATAGAATATCAATAAAAACAATTAAATCTATTATATAAAAGTATACAATTTTAGTAAGTAATTCTACAGAGTCATTTGTTACTATCAATATGTTTTTACAATTCTACATTTTTTTTACTATCAAATTTTTCTTGTATGAAATATCTGTCATGAAGCAAAACATTCTTATTATAAACATACATATGAGTTCGAAATCATCTTGGCATCGTTGAGGCATTTCAATATCATCACCACCAATTTTTTTCATCCCATTCATTAAATATTCCAAATATTGAAACATATTAATTTGCTAAAGAAAAAACACAAAATAAATAATTTTAAAAGGTTAACAATAATTCTTACTTGATTTTGTACAGATTGAACTTCATTTTCAAGTGTTTTTATTTTCGTCAATACGATTTCTTGTGATGAATATCTGAACATAAAATTTATACATTTACTTAATAGGAAGAAAAAAGAAAAATCTTATGTCTAACACTCGTTCTTCGTTAAAATCATTTGAATATTCAATTTGTTTTTGATTCGCTTTCAAAGAAATAAAATAAACTTCATTTCCTAATGCATCTTCAATTTCCTCAAGTTGTTTTGTCAATAATTTATTCACACTTATCTCTATTAAATTAAAAAAAATACAATCAATCCAATTATACTTAAAAGTATTTTTACTAAATTTGGCTTGATTTTTTTGTTTAATATATTTCATATAAAACCATTTTATTTTAAAAGAATGTGAAAAAACATAAATAATTATACGCCAAATATGTGATATGATAATAAATGGTGGTGGAAATAATGGACGTTTTAATTGATAACATACTAATGAATATTGTTGAAATTTCCATATACAATCTGTATCCATATGTAAACGATCAAATGTATTACTAAACATTGCTATTAAAAGATTAATTAAAAGAACACTTGCAACAGTAATATATACTATTAATAAGAAAAACATAACATAACCATTTAATTCATAATTTTCTAAAAACAAAGTTTTTTTCAATAGAAATATATTTTAAACGAAACAAACTTTCAATATCTTCAACTATTTGTAATTCAAATATTTGCCAATAGGCTAAATTAATTATACGACGTGGCATATGCCAAGAAAATTTTTGAACATCATTTAATAAACTATAAGTTGGTACACCAAATGCTAATACAAATACTGTAAGCATTAACATGAAAAATGTAAGATCATGAACCTGAATTAAAAATAAATCAGACTTTTTTATAGAAATAAAATGAATCAATTTACCATTTCCCCAATCATAACTAGTTTAGGACCTAATCGTTTTACAGCAGAAAATATATCAAGTGTTCGAATATACCAGATAGATAAATCAATAGCTAGAATAGTTCGTGCAATATTAAAACATCCGCTAACTGGTAGAAATCGAAGTATACAAGTAATAAAAAATAGAATTATAGCGAATGTATCTAATTTATTCCAGAGTATAGTAAAATAGGATTGCAATTTTCCATACATTGAGTGAGTTTTCTTTGCTCTTATCTAATCAAATAAAAATAAAAAAAAAATATTGAAAGAATAAAACTTCTTTTTACTTGTCGAATTTCTTCACACAATAAAGTAAATACCCATAATATAAGTATTAATTCAGTCATTGATGGTCCATAATTAGATTGATATTCATATAATGGAAAATAATCACATAATAATACATATGAAAATAATAGTAAAAATATCACATGAGAATACTATAGAAAATTTTAGATCTAACATCTTCATATTTATGCATATAATAAAACTTACTAGATTGTAGAGATATTTCACATATGGAGCATGTAAAAATATTGAAATATTTCCTATATATTGCTTAATACCACTTTTCTTATAATCGACATTAAAATCATCACCGATTAATCTCGAACATGTCGTATCTGATTCATTACACATCTTATCAATAGTGGTTTTTAATCGTGGTATATAATATTGTGAACTATCAGGTTCATTATATTTATTACTACCTTCAATTAATTCCTCAGAATAAGTAAGAAAACCACTATACGGAAGCATAAAACTTGAAAATATTATTAATGAATGACTAACTCGACGATCAATACGACCATACCATATATCATGAAGTACATCTTGTACCCCTTGTTGAGCAATAAATAATTTTGATTCAGCTATAACAGCTAATTGTAACCAAGTAACATTATCATATTCTGGAATAGCTCTAACAATAGCTTGTTTACATTTATATGGATTTGTTAAATAGAATCTTTCAAGTATTTGTACAGCTAAATGTTCGAATTTATCTATCCATGCTTCATATTTAATATTCCTTTCTGTTCTTGTTTTACTTTTATAGATTAATATTGCAATAAAAGCAGTACCTAATTATAATTCAAATTTAATTCAAACTTTTTTTTGTTATATCTAAATACATACAAATTTTATTTCTTCCTCGAGTCCAAAAAAGTAAAGCTAATTCTTGTCTTCCTGTTAAAACTGACCATAAAAAGAGTTCTTTATTAATATCTATTTCATTATTTGATAATATTGTAAAAGAATTTTTTGGTAAATCATCATCTTCATCAAGTTGAGAAACATTTCCAAGAAGTGGTTGAATAATTTCTGTATAAACTGATTTCAATGAATCATTGAATTCATTTTCATAAAGATCTACAAGTTTATTTGTATTGTGAAATAAATCATTTATTGAAAAATCATGATCAAGAAATAATTGAATAAAATTCACTTGATTTTCTACAAGAGCTTTTTCAAATAAATCATTCAAATCAATTAACTAAATATTTAAATTAATAAATTTCTTTTAATTGATCTCTTCTCTTACCTTCCAATCTCGTTCATTTTTCATAATGGAATTTTTAATAATATCGATTTGTTTCCATTCATATGCTAAATACAATTGTTTACGTTTTTCTTCGATATTTTTTTCACATGAAGTAACTATTAAATATAATATTTTTATTATTTTCCATTAAATATGTATATTTCAATTACCTTTAATAAGAGCTTGTAAAATAGCTAAATTAATATCATCACCAATAAGACTATGTACTTTAAAATCAATAAAATTTAAATATTTATTTCGTGTTGTAACACATTCATAGATTAATTCAAAATAATCTATTTCATGATCTGGTGCATTTGTACATGATGTTTCCGCCAATTCATGATTAACGATTTGTAATGCTTCACGAATTTTACTTTTTAATTCTTCATCATTTTCTACTGATAATGAATTATATTTTGTTTGATTAAATAATTCCGTTTTTGATTTACGTCCATTATATAAATGATAACATTTAGCAAATAAATCACAACATCCACTTGTACCTTCAACAAATATAACAGGAATTTTATCATGAACAACACTTTTATAAACTAAAATAGATAAACATTCAATACTTAATACTATTAAATATAATTCCAAACCTTTTTTAATTGCATCAGCACAACCTTCAATAACAATAATAACAATCGGTGTACTATCTAATATATAAATA